CAAATGGAGTCCATTTCAGGATTCAATAAACCAGTTGTAAGAAGGATGGAGAAGTAGTAAAAGCATGTTTAAGTCAGTTGTGTCTCTGAATATATGAAGTGCAGAGTGGTTATACAGGTTTTACTTTTAAGGCCAATATTCATATTTCTATTTAAAGTATTTGAAATACTAAAATATTTTTGAAGATTATTTTTATTGGACAAATATTAAATATTGTTTACATGTTTAAATCGCTTTAATGCACCAGAAGTATCTAAGCTCAACCTTCTTTATAATCATATAGCTAACAGGTAATATGTAGGGCATTTCTCAGGAAGGGATTGTAAAATAAATTGATGTGATCCTTCAATTTTATGATTCATTATTTCCAATATGAATAACTTAGAACATGTCAGTAACATTCCATAGATTCAGAAGTCATACTCTCAGAAAAAGCAAAGAGATCTTTAAAAATGGAGTGCTAAGTAAATGCATGCTTGTACCACAAATAGTAATTGAGGTTGGCGCAATACTGGAGTTAAGGTAGGAAGACAGAATGTCTTTCTAGAACTGTATAAATTGAGAAGTCTGATAATATCAAAATAGATTTTGAGTATATAAATCTTGATTTGGTTTGGTGCTTAAAAATTTGATTGTCATTAGACAGTAAACACATTGCTTAATGGGACAGTAAATTGGTACTACAGTGAAAATGCATTTCTCCTGTGCTTTTCAATGGAGCTGAAAAAATACACGCTTCTGTTTTATTACATGAATGACAATCATTTAACTTAATATATCAGTGTTTGGTTTCAGATGTTTTGTCAGTCAGTTTTTAATTTATAAACATTTATCTTGCAATTTTAAATTTGATTAATAGGCATCCTACAGCGACTTGATGTGTGCTACTAGGAGACAGGGAGAACAGCAATAAGAAATAGCAGTTCTCTGATGAGTTTCATTTGGCTTGGTTTTTTTGCTGCATTGAGGAGAAACAGCTTTCCTCTGCTGTTGGTCGCTTGTTCCCAATCCTGCTCCATCTGTGCCAGCCCCACTGTCCGAGTAGCTATGTAGCAAAATAGATCTGGAAATTCATCTGGTTAAAGACTAGCTTAGCAAAAAAGGAAAATAAAATTTTTCAGAAAGATCAGTTTGCTTAGCTGGGTTAACATGCAGTTTCCTGAATGTTTTTGCACAAATAAGGCTAAAGAAATATGTAGATGAGGCCTTGGTTTAGGACTGTTAGAAAGACTGTGGAAACTATCTTTTCCACGTGTGGAGTAGGCAAGGCAGCAGGTGAGATTTATGTTGAAATAAATTGAGCTTGAAAATATGGTTTCATTTTTCAGTGTAAGGTTGCTGAAAATCTTTACAAAATATTTTCACTTAATGTTACTTCAGCTTTTCATTTTTATTTAAGGTACCAGTTCATTATTAGCCTTTATTTTCCTTGTTAAATTTTCTAATATAAATCTAGAGTTAGAAAAGAAAATGAGAAAAGACTTTAGAGCTCTTACTTGGCTCAGGTTATGCATAACTTGGACTTTGCCAGCATGTGTGATCTGGAGCAAATTAGCACAATTTCTTCTGTAATTGTGCTTCTAAATTTGTACAGTGGACAGCAGTGCAGTATGTGATTATCCCTACTAGCTTTAATGAACTAACTTGACTACTGGAGAAGTTCAGTTATAGCTGCCCGGGGCTCCAAGGGAACTAATTTACTCCCTAGATATCATATAAAAATAGGTTGGGTGGAGCTCTGGGCTGTTGTGTCTTGACAGCTTCTGGTATATAAGATAGCTCAGTTAAAACTAGTGTCAATATCACTTTATTATACTTTGTGTGATAAATACACTTTCTAAGTGGCAGTGCTGTTAGTTTTCTAGTGTACATAGGCTGCATCCATGTTCTGATAGCTCGATTGTTTTACACTAAGGTTACTTAGTCCTGTGTTTTCATATCACTCTGGCTTTTAACTTTAAAGCTTACTTTGAACTAACTTCTTTTCAAAAAGCACTACTGTTCATTGAATCAAATAGGGGGGTGTACAATTTATTTGTTAATTTGGTCACAAATGGTGTACAGAGTTCTGTTGACCGAGGTATGTACAATTAATATATACAGAGCTCAGAGTGAACTCCTACTCTAGTTCTGCAATGCTTTAGGCTTTTTAAATGAACTGGGAGTACTTAAGCAAGTGCACAGTCTCTTTAGTGTTGGGGTATGCACCTATGCAAAATAATCACCTTATTACTGAAATGTATAAAGTGCTTATTTAATACTTTTTTGAGCAAAAGTGTTTAAAAAATTGCTATACAGATTTCAAAAGCTAAGCCTAAATTTAGTCTCCAAAATCCACTTAGAATTTTAAAAAGAAAACAACATTCAAAATCCACAACTATCTTTAACTGCAGCATTTCTTTTATATCAGCACACTCATTTTCTTAAGAATCCTGAATGTATTAAAAAACACAACTTTCAGTATTTGTAAGTATACTTGGTATGAGTTGAAGTACTAATTGTTTTTATAAGCAACTCTCAAGAGAAGTGCTAGTGTTTGGAATGAAAGCTGCAGTGAAATAAAGGCTCTTGCATTGTGCAGCATAGTTTCTTGATGTATGGAACATCAAAGAAATTAAGTTTAAAATAAAACAACCAAATGGGGTCGTGTCCTGAAATAGACTCCTCTGGAGACCAAATGGAGGTTATTGAAATAGGCTATTAGGTGGTTGCAGGTACATTCATTGGTAGAAGTGTGGAGAATATTTAAACTTTGCTAACTGGAGATTACAGGGGTATATAGAAAGAGATACATATATAGATATTGAGTCCCTGTAACCTTTCTGCTTATATGCTTTCTGGAATTTTCTGTATTTTAAGAAAGGAATAGAAACTGATAAGATGCTTCCCCCTTGCTGCTCTGAATTTACTGATAATGTGTCCAGCATATCAAGATTGCAGTAAATGGAGATGGTTTCAGTTATTTTTTGGTGTGTATATGGGGAGATTTCTTAAATTTATGAAATAAATCTACTGATGTTACCATTTTATTTCTACATTTCTTTACAAATTGCTAACAAAGTTGATTTAGAAACCCCAGAGAGAATGTTAGTAAGGCATAAACTATCAGTATTTAGATAGAATACTTTTGCTTACAGTATTTCTAAACAGAAGGCAAAGAGAGTATACCAAGTGACTGAATAGCCTATACAAGTGATATTTTTACTTCTCAAGTGATTGAGGAAAAGAAACAATTTTAAGAGTGGGAGAGAGAGAGATTTATTGGAAACGTTGATACGTGGAAAGTTACTTACTGATATATGTGAATCAATTAAAAAAGCCACTCTCACTGAAAATAAAAGGATTTTTTGATAATACTGAAACATGTATTTGAAATTATTTGCATGTGTAGATTTAATGAGTTTCTAAATTTATTAATATTTATTATTAATAATTGAATGCTTGTATTTTTAGGTAAAATTTGGAAATACAACATTTAAGACAGATGTGTATCCTAAATCACTTAATCCCCAGTGGAATTCTGAGTGGTTCAAATTTGAAGTAAGTATTTTTTAAGAGTTTGTATGTATCTATATAGACTCTTTGATTTAGATGCCCTTAATGAAGTAATTTCATTTCAGGCAGAAAATGAGTTTTGAGGAGTGAAATGTATCTCTCTTTAAATACACGTGAAGCCTTTTCAGCAAACCTATCTACAGTTAGACCTTGTTTGCTAAAGGTGTCTCATTGGCTTTTTAGGATTGTTTGTAAAGATAAAAGCTTGCCAGATTGGATCCAACTCAAATGTTATTCTGGGTAATACTAAAAAAGACAAGACAGAGGTGAAAGTTGGCGAAAAATAGCATTATGGATTAGGTTTTCAGATATCAGTACGAGTATGCTTGTATTTTTTTTTAAAGGTGTAATTTTGAGTAAGGAAATCTAATTGGTATTAGAAATGTTACTTTGAGTTGCAAAAATAATGCACTTGACAAAGAAGAAAATGGAGAATTCCTGTGAGAAAATTACAAAATAAAGAGCTTGGAAAATAATTGTCAGACAGTTTCTTTTCCTACTTCCTTGTGTAATAATGAGGGCACTCAGCATTTTCCTGTAATTGCTTGTTGCTTTCCAGGATCTAATTCATTTGTGTCCTTTGTCATTATGACCTGAAAAAGTGTTTACGTACTCTGTTGTTGCTACTGCATTTTTTAGTGACTTCTAAAAAAATAATTATGTAATGGTATTTAGAATAAATGAATTGTTAAAACATTTGAATATATAGTACTTGTTCATTTATAGTGTTCTGAGATAATATAGTATAAACATGGTTGTAAATATATGTGCATGTAATGAATGATGTAATAACTGGTAATGTTAGAAATATTTTAGAGCAAATATAAAATAGTAAGGTTAGGCAAATTATTCATCAACATGGAATGCTTAACTAAGAGCATCTCTTAGTCACCAATCCTGTTGATTAAGAAAGTAGTACTGTGGTGTTGAAATTGAATCAGTTTTCTTTTTTTATCTTTCATTTCCTGGGGTCTTTTTTTTGGGGGGGAGGGGGAAGAGCTGATCTGTGTAGAGGGTTGACTCTGTTCATACAGAAAGAGGTTTTTTGACAATAACAGAAGTCTCAAAATTCTATCTTTCTGCATGGAAAAATGGATTTGGGAAAGAAAAGAGCCAAACAGCAAAATTTAAAAAAAAAAAAAAAAGGGATTCCACATTTCAAAGAGTGGAAAAACACTAACCGCTTAAGACATCGTGTGTGTGTGTGTAGTTTGATCTTTTTGCAAAACTACATGTTATAATTCTGCAAACGCTTACATGAGTCATCCCATTGCATTTAGCAAGCCTGATTCTTGGTTTGTGACGTTCAACGGAAAAAGTTGTAGAACGTCTATCTTTGTATGTCCTAAGAAATAGTTGAGGTATCTGCAGATGGATTATTGCATTTATTTAGAAAAGTGCACGTCTGAAATTACTGAACAGCAGGTTGTATAAAATGTCTTCTTTTAGGCCACTGACTAGTTTGGAAGGGTGAGAGCACCAATAATCATAACCTCAGAGTATAATGGTCCCCTGAGATGCTTTATCTTAAATTTTCTTCTTCCCTTTTTTTTTTTTTTTTAAAAAATGAAGATACACTTGTGGAAATATATTGTGGAAATGGGTAGACAATCTAGGGAATGTGACTTAAATCATGTGAAATTTTAAAATGTGTAATCACGATGATAATCTTGCTTTTCTGTTCTTCTCCCAGTGATAACTCTGGTTCCAGGAGCTCACCAGGCTGTGAAGGGTAAAATCAAAATAAGTGAACGCATTGTTTAGATACAAGAAATCAAAATTACAGATTTATCTGTGTCAGGTCATTGTACATAACTAACTCTCCTCCTTTTTGCATTTATTTTTCAGCAGTGTTTCCCTGCATTATTATTTTTTTTTTAAGTACTCAGATTCATGTTAATATTTGTTTCTAGGTAGATGATGAAGAGCTGCAAGACGAGCCTCTCCAGATCACAGTTCTTGATCATGATACCTACAGTGCTAATGATGCCATTGGCAAAGTGTACATAGATATTGATCCTTTGCTCTATAGTGAAGCAGCTACAGTTATTTCAGGATGGTTTCCAATTTATGATACCATTCATGGTAAGATTTGCTAATTTAGAAGTAAAACAATGTTGTTTGAGATGTAATCTGCTTCTTACAATCTTCATTTCTGTAAGCTGTCTTCAGAAATTTGTAGTAATTTTAGCCTTGGGAGCTGGAAAGCTACTTTTCTGGTGTTTGTTTCCGTATTTCTGGCATAGTAGTTCAGACTAGTGCTTGGCAGAACGCCTTCCATAGAACTTGTGACAAGGAGAAAAATTCGTCACATGGTATTTAAAATAGTTACTACAAAATTCACATTAAAAAAAAAGACCCAAACGTACTTTTCCAATTACCATATGCTTACTAAAAGAATATACTTTTGCTGAAGTCACTTGGGGTGTGCCTTCCGGCGATGTTGGATAAACTTCACTTGAGATGGAGGGGCAGGATGTGACATATCATCAACATAAACGACAGGATGAAATTCCTTTTCCCTGCGGAAAGTATTCTCAATGCTAGGTAGATTTCATCAGAATATCTTGAAGGTATGAGAAAATGAAGTTAATGATATTTTTGCCTTTGATTTTAATGAAACACAACTTTTGTCCCAGAAAGTCAAGGTCGGTTTACAGCAATTAGATCATTGCTTGAATACCTGATTGCAGAACGTTTGTGTGGTTGTCATTCCCACCCTTGTTCATTATCCAGTGTGAATTAATGACCTAACTATGTTAAAAGCTAATTATAAATCATTGTTGGGAAATAATGGTATTTACTAGATGATCATCATAACTGATGCAAAGTATTTTTTTGCATGTAGAACAGTTATATTGAAGAGGGTTTTTTTGAGAAATGTTGTGTGTATTTTTCTTATTTATCCTTTTATTCTTTTCACATTTTCCTGTTGTACATTTTCTTTTGAAGTTAAATTCGGTGAGCACTTGTCTCTGGATATGTACAACTTCTGTGTCAGAGAGAATTAGATTTTTCTAGATTTGTTAGTATTTCATAGCTTTTTTCTATTTGTAAAATTAGAATTCTTATGTTTTCATACTCATAGCAGTAGCTTCTAATTATCTTGATTCTTGGCAAACAGTAATTGATGCTTCCTTAAAAAATAATCAGTATAATGTTTACAAATTTTTATTAAAAAAATTGGTTTTGCTCCTCAACATGATTACTTGTGAAAATATATGAATCTGAGGCACTTCCTCTTACGGTAACTGAAGGCTTCTTTCTATTGACTTTTTGGAATATAGATCTAGGTGACTTTATTGCAATAATGTCAATCTACAAATTAATGCTCTTGTTTGAGTGTCATACTTGTGTGATAAAGGCTTCTGAAGACACTAGAGATCAGACTTATCAAGAAGTTTAGTCCTTGGTATGTCAGAACCTTTTTTGTTACTGGATGGGGAAAAGAAGAAAAAGCTCAGAATGAGAAAGTAGAAGAATCAAAAAGGAATGGCTGTGTGTTGAGGAAATAGTCTATGATTAGTAAGGTTTAATTGTGGCCAAAAATTAAGCTTTATCTAAAAAGTCTGTAATAACTTATTTTTTATGTATTTCTTCTTATAGTCAAAGTATTTTACAAACATTTACTGTGCCACTTTGTGGTTCTAGAAAGAACCATAAATTTTCTCATTGGATTGAGCTTTGGAGAGTAGTTTTACTGCAATTTTGAAACTATTTCAGGGAGAAAACGTAAAAGCTTTTCAGTGTGGTCACGACTCCAGTTTCAAGGTATCTATACTCAAAGTTAGTACTTCCGACCTTTTGTGCTAAAGATATCTTGGGATTTTATACCTTTCCTACATCGATGATAGAGGGCAAAGAGCAGAGAGAGCACTTGCACACTGCAGCAGAGGCCACTGCAGTATCAGAAGGCTGATGGCTTCTCTTCTGCTAATCCCATCTTTCTTCTAAAGTCTTGGTGCAGGAGATGTTTGAGGACTGTTGTTTGCATAGCTTCAGCCTGAAAGGCTGGGCAGAACTAGAAACTTCCTTGGAGATAGCATCTCAGCAGCAGGCCTGAGAGGCAAGGAAATGTCTTCCTGCTCCTCTGGCCCAAGCTAGAATTGACACCGTGAACCGCCAGTTGAATCAAGCGGTTTTAGCAGGGTTGTAGTACGTTCTTTGTATTTGTTTCTGATACAGCTTCTCATTTTTCATGTTTTTTTTATTGATAGGTATACGTGGGGAGATCAACGTGGTGGTGAAAGTAGATCTCTTCAATGATTTAAACAGATTTAGGCAGTCATCCTGTGGAGTCAAGTTTTTTTGCAGTAAGTAGAGGAAAAAAGTTAATTTGAATAGAATTCCCCCCCCTTCTTTTCTTCACCTCTTCTGTCAGTTTCCCTTCTTTCACCAGCTCATTGCATAAGCCCAGTGGAGATTACATTGAAGCCAGTAGAAACTGCAGAGAACTGTTTAGTTTGCTTTTCTTTTTTAATAGATTTTTACTATTCATGTTTCAAAACAATGAAAATAACTGGGTTTTTTTCCCCTTTATCTTTTTAAGTTGCATTTCAGTGCAAGTGCATACGCACGTTGTGTTATTTTGGGTGCATATCCTGTTAAAGAGGCACAAAGTGAAAAAGTTTCTTAATGGTACATGTTGTAACTGATACACTGGACAATTATCATGTTCCAGGGTCTTCAGAACAAAACTGCTTGGGTATGTCCACATTTTAACAGAAAATCATGTGAATTACTTTCTAGAATCATTCACATCGCTTTTTATGTGTAATTTTATGTTTTTCTTGGAATTCTTGGCTCATAGACTCATGCCTTATACCTTTTATATATATTTTTTTAACAGCTACATCTATTCCTAAGTGTTACAGAGCAGTAATAATTCATGGATTTGTGGAAGAACTTGTAGTTAATGAAGACCCAGAATACCAGTGGATAGACCGAATTCGTACACCAAGGGCATCAAATGAGGCTAGACAAAGACTTATTTCACTCATGTCAGGTATTAAACATGTAGGCCATAATGGTTATTGCTGCTTTTAAAAATATTCACCATTTAAATAAGTGACTTGCTTAAGACAAGATGGTATATTATTTGTGGTATTAATTCTGCTTATTTTTTCAGTTCTCAGTGTCTTGTGTTTCTGAAGGTCCTGTTGTCCTAACTGATGGCCAGTATGGCTGGTGGTTTTTTTTTTTTTTCCTTCCTTCTTGGTGAGGTTATGCTGCGGTCTAATTGTTGGTTGTTTTTAGCAAGGTCAAAGAATCTCGTGGAACTTTCATGAATATGTTCTTAACCCATATGAGGAGTATTACTAGAATTTTGACTCAATTAAAGTAACAAAATGCTCCACCCTCTTTGATCTACTTTGAAATATGCACCATCTCAGATACAGTTGGTATTAATACTTATCTTACTCATCTTTTTGAAGTCAGGATTGGCTCATTGTTTCTCAAGCATACTTCTGTATTGCCTTGCATTGATTCTGCAGGACATACCTGCAATTCCTGGGGAGACCAGTGATTAGAGTCAGTTGATGTCTCCACGATATCAAGTATCTTCACAGATTATCTTTTATTTTGTATTACTGATGCTTATGAACAGCAGTTTTGAACTGAGATTGTCCTGGTTTAGTGCCAATAGAACAGAACAAAACACCCCTACTCTAGAGCACTTGCGTACTAAGACGAGACAATCAATAGAGGTGGACAACATTGAATGTGTAAGGAATACAAAGAAATGATGAAAAATAACCACCAGAATGATAGGCAGTGGTATCAGTTCTCTAATGGGCTCTTAATGTTGTCAAGTTTCTTGTAGATACGGCTGTGCTTTAAGGAAGATACTAAAAAAGTGAGTTAGGTTTTGCAAGCATGTATCTTTAGTAAGTGGGGCAGCATAAAAGAGATTATGGAGATGTTACTCAGTATCTTCATTAGGAAAGCCAGCGTGTTTTGAGGAAAAATGTGAAAAACTAACATTGTCATAACTGACATGAATTCACTTTTTATGAGGTTTTTTAATATCGCTCCCCTGGTATGTCAGTTTATAGGATTAACATATACATATCTCTTGGCTTGCTAAATAGTGAAAGTAGATAAAGTAGCATATGTGGAAGTATTCTGCTAGATTCTATTAATATTTTTATTCATGGCAGTAGTTAAGAGGAAAAACCACAAAAGACCTCATAGCAATACTGTTTCATGTCATATAATGCTTCACATTGCAATCATTGTTACTGGTGGCCACGCCTAAAGAATCCTGATGAAATCTGTAATGTCTGAGAATGACCCAGACTGATTCATAGATCTCTGTCATACTTTGTATTGTATATGTAAAAAAGAACCCAGTCTCAACCTTGGTTTGAGTGGAATCCATAGCAATTTTCACTCATCTAGAAACTTTGATACTCTACCTCAACCTTAGAGATTTTTCAAGACCAGTACAGGCACAATTTCAGCCTCTATTGAGAAGTTTACAGTAGGAACCCGTTCTGGTAATTTTAACACCAAGCTCTAGAAAGCAATAGTGATCGTTTCATTCCACTTGATTTCTTAACATCGTTGACATTGGGACTGTTAGACTGTCCTTGGTGACAGTGAGGCTTTTTCAGTTTGTTAACAGAAGATTTTGGAAATCTTTCATTTTCATCAGAAGAGAGATGATGTTTTCCACCTAGTATTACCAAGGCTATCTAGCTACATAGATCAGTGAACTTTTTTAAACATCCTGGTAAGTAAGCACCTATGGCAGACCCTTCTCTGATAGTTACAGTCTTTCAGTCTTTGTGTGCAGCTAATAGAGAAGTGGCAGTCTCTTGTTTGCAGTGAGAGAGTGGCATATCTGGTATCGTGTTTTCTTTATTTGGTGTTACATTTTGTAGATGTCTGCCATATTAAACACTATTAATTTAAAAAGAGCAAAAGTTATGAATTAGGTTGAAATAGGCTTAAATAAGTTTGCAAATAAAAAAATTATAGATGCCTAGTCACATGGATTTCAACGACGTTGCATTATTCTGAACCGTATGAAGGAGTATTTAGAAAATTACGTGTGTTCCAGCACATATCTGGACCATCTCTTTCTTTCTCTTGCTAAATAAGTAAAAAAAAAAAAAAAACAAAAAAAAAACCCCAAAAAACTAATGAAAATAAAACCAGAGAAAAACATTTCTGAAATAACATGTTGTTTTGGCAATCAGAATAGATTTGGAGGAAAAAGGAAAAAAGCTGTGCAAATCATAAATATCACACTGTTATAGGAGGCAGAGATTGTGACCAGCTGCTTGTTACAACTATTTAAGATTGGATCTATTGCCTGTTTTACTGACTTGGCTGGCAGTTCCAAAAGCAGGGGCCAAAGACCACAAAAGAGAATAGGGAAAGTTCACTGCAATTATGAGCTCTTTACCTTTTGTTTTGTAGGTGAATTGCAAAGGAAGATTGGCTTGAAGGTGCTTGAAATGAGAGGAAATGCTGTTGTTGGTTATTTGCAGTGTTTTGATTTGGAGGGAGAGTCTGGACTAGTTGTGCGCGCCATAGGAACAGCCTGCACGTTGGATAAATTAAGTAACACATCAGCATTTTTACCTGCATGTAACTCCCCATCCAAAGAAATGAAGGAGTAAGTATGAATTAGTAGGGAAACAAGTTTCATCTCTCTTCTTTTCATACTCATTCAGTTTTGCATAACCAGCGTGACTTCTTTTTTTCCCCAGAATTTGTTTTTCTTTTGTAGTTTTATTTGTCTGCAATTCAGTTTATATTCCGGAATTTGGATATGTTTTAGGTTGGTTTACTTATGTTATTTCTTTAGAAGCTGGAGTGGTAATCCTTATTTAATATGACTTTTCTGAATTTATGTAGCAATGGTATTTATGTATCCTTGGGTTGTGATCCACCAATTTCCTAATAATGAGTTCTGCCTTGATTCTGTGTTTGTACAATGAACACTTTTTTGAGGGCTTCTTATGATCTACCTTCTGTTCAATATTTTCCAAGTTCAGTACAATCAGGTTTCAGCATTTATGTTGAGCATGTAAGAAAAGATAAATTTTGAATCCAGACGGTTCTGTCAGTGATTTAGAGAATGACCCTGAAGTAGTCTCGTGTTTTCTTGTGTGCTTTGCTTTTTACTGTTACAAAACAAGTAGGACTATTGCAAAACAGGTAGAATTAAACAATATACTTGCAGAGAAAACTTTTTTATGATGAGAGATAGAATTTCTTGATCATTGTTATATCTGCTGCAGCACCGAACACAGTTTGAATGTTGGGGGTTTTTTTAAATGTGCATACAAAGCAATAGAAAAATTCTTGTGGTCGTCTTCAAATAGTTACTACTTTGTTGCTTGAATAAATTATAGTTATTTTCTGTTTGGTAGAGCAATCAAATTTCTGGAAGGAAAAAAACAGTACCAAAAAGTATACTACTTATGCTATGTTTCCAGAGGTATAAATTAAATTAGCTATTTTCATTAACTTGAACTGTTGTGTCATTACAATAGTAATTAGGCATTTTTGTCAGGTAGGCATCAGTATGCTCTGACTTCTCAAAAATTACTGGTTTCTATTTCAAATCACAGCTTAAGTTGTCTTAATTTTAAAAATCTGCCATCAAAAGAGCTTCTGGATACAATGCAGCATAAAATAACAGTGATGATTTAAAAATAAAAAAAAAAGGTGAACAGGTGGACCTGGTAACTACCAACTTAAAAAAGCATTCATAAATAAATCAGTAGCTTTCACTCTGCAGCAAAATGTGGAAAATCCACCTCCTAAATAATCCATGCACAGCTTGGTGGTGGATATTGTCAGAATCATTGTCCCTTGGTCCAAAAAATGGGAATGTTTCTGAAAGCCAGCAAGATCAACTAATACTTCTTATTCTTGGCTCTATACTAACTTGATGCCCTGTTGCCAGAGAATCAATTACGCATTCACAAGCTAGTGCTTCAGCTATTCCTTTCTGTCTTTTTATTTCCTCTGGACTCTTGCATGCTAGGAAATTAAATTCTTAGAGTCTGCTTAAAGTAAGAGATCTCCTCTAGCTAAACTTCCCTGAAATCAAATAACATAACTTTGCAACCTGTTTGTATGTATTGTTTTCTTTTCTTCCACCTTGGCTGCAAATTCTCTCAGGTCTCCGCTGGTTCATCCGCCAAGCCATGGATGCCGCTCGACTCACAACAGCCCAATTCACACTGCTACTGGCTCACGACTTACTCAGAACTTCTCTGTGTCTGTTCCCACTCTCATCTACACTGGTACGAGACTGCTCAGACTCAAGAGCTGGGGAGAGGCAGGCCACAGGCACAGTGGTCGCAAAGTGCAGGCAGGCAGGCAGTGTAGGCAGGTACCACCCATCTTTTCTCCCTCATTTTCTCATGGAGAAACCTTCTATTGTCAGTGAAGAACTACACTGTGTGCAACTGCTGAAACAAAGGCAATAGTTTCTTGAAAATGCATTGGAGTCTCTTCCACAAAGCCACACTCTTCATTTCTTTTTAACCTATTCACTTACTAAGAAATGAAGTAAAATAAGTTGGTGTATCTGGGGAACACTCGCTATTTTACAGTCATTAGAGGAAATCATGTTTTGATTGGAGTTCATAATTGCTTTGAAGCATAATTCAGCTGTGGTGCTTAGGTTTTAAAATGGTTATAGGAAGGGTATGTGCCCCTTGTGGAAGAGATGGTTTTAGAGAGCAGGTAAGTCAATCTGTGCATAAGTGAACTGTTTGTCAATATAGTTTTCCCATAAAGATTCTCCTCTTTGCTCTGTTTTTAGCTGTGGCATGCTGCTGATGCTATAGGATAAGGAAACATTTTTTTTCCTTAAAATGCATATGTGTGTATATACATAAATGTATGAATATGTATAAACACAAATATAATTTGAAATCATTTTTTCTTTATTGAACTAACTCAAAACATTGTGTATTTGACCAGATTTTAAAACCATAAACTGTTTTCAATTTTTTCTTTTGCATATATATATTTATTTTTTTTTATCACATCTCATGCCTTTCATTTGGCTTAATTGTTTCATTGTAGATTATCAGCATCTATCTGTAGAATGCTGAATGGGTAAACCAGCGTTTATTTGCCTCTGGCCTCATCCCTAGTCTCGCACCTAAGGAATAGCTGCTGGCCCTGCCCCAATCCCATCCTGGTGTTTGGATCATGCTGCTGTCAGCCAGGTCCTTTGGCACAGGATTACTGAATATGTTTCCACCTTCTTCTGGCAGGATTCCCTTCAATGAAGATCCCAATCCCAATACTCATTCATCAGGACCCTCCACCCCTCTGAAAAACCAAACCTATTCCTTTTCACCTTCCAAGTCCTACAGTCGACAGTCCTCTTCTTCTGACACAGATTTGAGTTTGACACCCAAAACTGGTAAGGCGCTTCCACCCACTTTTTGTTTAATTTGTGTTTCTCTTTTTATATTTTCATTCAACCCCTTTTTGCTTTTTGGCATTTAAGTTATCAAAATGATGTGGAAATTGGAGACTTCAGGTAGCACACCTCAAGCTTGAAAGGGTTTCTGTAGGGTGAAAATTTAAATCCTGCCTATATTTCCACTATTCTGGATGACATTAAAATGACATTTGTAATACAATTGTATTCAAGTCGAAATAAAACATCTCAGAGCGTTAAGGGAGTCTTAAGTAATTGCCTTTTTCTTATTTCCTCCATTTCATATTACAAATCATGGAAGTACATTTCTCACCACAATACGTTATGGACTGTGTTACTAAAACTATGTAGTCTTCAAGCCTAGTGTGTTGTGCTATAAGTATATTGTATACGTTTCTCTGTGATTTTTAACTCCTTTTTGCAAATGTGACACTAGAAATGTAGCAGCTGCTGTCTTTTTATTCTTCTCGGTGTATGGAAATGGCTTTACATACACAGTATACATTTTGAAAGTAAATTATACTCCAGCCATCTTCAAAAAACATTTTTCTTTCTCCATTGATGTATCATTTCTTCCACTTGTTGTTTTGTCCCTCCTTATTTTTCTGTCTGTGGTTAGAACCATGTCAGTAATAATGTCAGCACAGCTCAAAGAATTACTGTCTGTTTATTCTCCATTATGTGACCAATGCCCTGAGTTTTGCTACTGTAGGGCAAAATATTTTGCAGAATTGTTTATAAAAGTTTGGTTGCTTTTTAAATGTTGCTTTAAATTGTGGTATTTGATGCTCGGAACACTCTTGTCTCCATCTAACCTAGACAATTTTAAGCATATTAAAGTAGTTGATTCAGCTTTACTTGATAGTATCCCTTTCAAGAATTTTTCCAAGCAGATAAGTTAAATGTTGCATTTGAATGCAGTTATATTAAGTATTTTACCCAGTTTATTCCTTATATGTCTGTTAAAAAATGTTCCCAGTTAGGAAGCAGTCTTAGTGCTATCTTATCTGTCCTGTTTTTAAACAAAGCACACTGATTTTTGTCCTTTTGTGTAAATGATGACTGCTTTGTGGATAACCCATGATGGTCACTTGTTTAAAGGACCTACTAATATAACTGGATCCTTATTATGTAGGAGAACCACAGGTTCATATGCTTGGTATACTGAATATTTGAAAACCTCTTTCTTTTGATCAGATTTTCCATGGTAAGGATCATGTCATGTAAAGGATTTAAATGTAACATAGATGGTCATCTTTATAGAGGTAAATGTTCTGAATTTTTCAAGGTACAACTCACTGCGAATTTGTCAAGTTTTTAAGGCAGGAAACCTGTATTGTTCCTGGCAATGTTAAGTAGGTGGATGGGCCTTCTTATCTTCAGTCAGTTCATTCAGAACTGAAACAGATAATATAATTGATACCTCTTATTTTTAGGGATTTTTCAAGTACATAAAGACATTTTTAGCTATCTTTTTAGTATTAAAGCTAACAGTGGGCATCCTTTTGCCTACTAGCACTGTCTTTTTAACAGCTTTTAACACTGCTACTGAAATTTGTCCTAAGAGGATTTGCCAGTTGCATTTAAAAATTCTGTATCTTGGTTTTACATACGAGATTTTGAATCTTAATAGCTTAAAAGGACAGTATCTCTTGAGTAATTTGTTTTACCTTTTACGAAAAATTTGATGATGTGCAGAAGATATTTCCGTAACATAGTAAATTCAGTATGTTGTTTTTAACAATTCACTGTATATGTTTAGACCTCTGTTCTCATTTCGCAAGACTGTTAAGTTGGAATATTTCAGTGTGAAAATTGGTGGTTAGTGTTTAAAAAAAAGTCTCATGTGACACATCATGTTTGAGGTACCCATTACTCAGATTGGCTGATGTGAAAAATGAAGAAGTATTTTCTGAGGTTTCTGCAGTACTTTATATTCCTCTTTATTTCTCAGTCAAGTAGCTAGTGTGTTCATGTGTTTGAGATGGAGACTAACCTGGAAAAAGAGTGCAGATACCACAATTTCACAATATGAATAACTAAACAGAGGAGATTGAAACTTGGATCTGCTTAAGCATCTAGTTTTCAGTAGCTCCAAATCAGGAGAATATTACCTTAATGTCTTTTATAAAATACGCTTGTGATTCAGTTACCCATTCTGGTTTGTATAAAAGGGGAAATTATTCTGTGCTGAGAAAGCTTGTTTTGGTTTTTGGAGTTAGACTTCTGTGAGTGGTGATACATTTAATGGTACTGCAAACTAAGAGAATATCAGGCTGACAAAAAGCATGACACATTTTAATCAGGTAATACATTTTGCTGTGACATAGTATATGTTTGGAGGAAATTGAGAAAGTGGGAACTCCTTTTCTTTGTGGAACTTTGAATTGTATGAGATTTATGACTCAAAATCAGAAAACAAATCCGTGACTTCTCTGGACAATAACTTTTTATGCTTAAATAATTAATCAGATTAAGATTAAGTGTGAGAAGACTATGTTATTTAGCTTTTACTCCATAGTATTTATCAAATTTTATATAAAATTTAAAATAAATGTTAGATTAGCATGGATTTTGAAAAATTAATTTCAAAATAAAGTTAATCAAGTCATGATTTTTGAGAACATGCTTCTCATTCACATTGTGGAGCTGTATTGTCATTTCATTTCTTTGTATGTTGAGAACTAATTTAGCAGTAAGTGCTGTTTCATTTGGAGGAAAAAAAAAAAGCTTCATTTTGATTTCTTCTGTCTGTTTCTTTAGTCATCTTCTGAATCTACATCTCTTTGTCTCTATTACTTTCATCCACAGCACCTTCCCCTCAGGGACCTAGGATTTTCCTGTTTCCCAGCTCCCCTACACTCTGTTGTGATTCCCCACATCTTAAAAAGTCCTGTCACCTCCTCTCGGGGTCTAGCCTTAACCCTCTACACCCTAGCCATGTCAGCCCAGTTGTTCTGAGGAAAAGTGTTTCTTTCACTGAAGAGCTGCTTCTGGCTGCTTCTGGTAGGATCAATCTATTATGGCCTTTTAAACAAACCTTTAAGGAAATGTTGTTATTTGATAAGGGGGCATTTAACACACAGCCTTCTATAACCCTATGTTTTTGTTTAGTTAGCCTCTGAAAACTGCTGGCTACATGACTACTCATACCATCTCTCACTTCTGCCCCAGAAGCTTGAAACAGCTTCAGAACTTCTTAAAGGATTTGAAATGTAGTTTATGCTACAGAACTTCCTCCTCTTCCCTTGCAGAATTTCCTTTGGTAATTGGACTAAGATAACTTACTTTTTTTTAATCCCCCTCATTCCCTTCACTTTGTTGTTCCTATATTTTGCATGGAACAAGCACTTGCTCATTAATTCATTCATAATTTATTGAAATAATGGCTATCAGATGGCTAGCAACTCTGCTCTTTAATCTTATAAACAAAGCCCATACAAACTTTTTATTTGTACTGCCTCCTTTTCCATTTCACTGACATGCATTATTTTCATAGATTTAAACAGTTGTTATTACTGTTTTTTTCTGTAGAAACTATTTTGATTAGTTTGTATTTTTTGAGTTTGTTTCATGTCCAGTATTTACGCTATGTTTGTCTGTATTTAATATTGTATAGTCCCTGACAATGATGTTTAGAATCAATGCCAAATAGTAGAAGCAATTTAATCTTGTTTAATGGGACTATGCAGATACTAATATTTTTGTTTCCTTATCCAAGAACAGCTAAAAATATTGGTTAAAAGTTGTAGTATTTTAATGTATAATTATATGGTAGTGATAGCCTAGTAAATGTTGAAAATGTTAGGAGTGAATTAACAGCCATTATTAAGTTCAATATTATTTCCAGATATCCCAGTCTTTGGTTAAAACAAATAACTGCACTTCATATATGTACAATCTCCTTCATGTTTATTAGATGCTTGATCAGAAGAAAAAGGAAACTAGCAAGGAATTGTTGTTTTAAATTAGTTAAAAATTCTGTAAAAGAAAACCTTGACTTCATTCATAACTGTTTGCACTGTGGTGTTTGTATTTCATCCTGCTTCTGACACTTTTTTTTGTTCTTTATCCTGTGCTTTTCTATACAACTTAAATGTTTATTTTTGCTTTGTCAAGTTAGCACTGATGATTTTAGATACAAGAAATACCAATCATAGTATGTTTTTAGGCATGAAATATTGCCAAGAAAATCTGATTCACCAGCATTGTGTTTACTTTAGGAAAAACACAATCTTGGTATGTGCTTGTTTTTTACTTTTGTGATTTCTAACCATAGAGCAACATGTACTGTCATACATATAACCTGCATCTTGACACGCTCAGTTAAGAGTACAGTTCCTTGCTAACAGATAATTCAACCTCAAAGGTATTTGTGTATCTGATAAACTTTCCATCTGTTCAGAAAAGCTCCTGTATTGAGGGGTAGGGATGGGAGAAAAGAAGGAAAGAGAGAATCACCCATATTTTGCAAAATTGGAGTTTATTTCTTATTTTCATTTACAGATAATCTGCAGGTTATCTGTATGCAAATATAGTAATCAAGTAACTGTGGCAGTTTTAAATGCTGAGCAGTAGTCCTTAGCTTATTTGAATGAATCAGATGAGTGACTATTTCATTGCATAGATATTAAAGAAAATAAAAATAATTTCTAATTTTTTTCAGAGTTTATCTTTCAAATCAAAGGATGTGCCTTGCTTTCGCAATTTTCTTTTTGGTCCCAGTCATGCATTATATAGCTACTGCTGTAATTATGTGTACGGTCTCCTCCCAGTGGTTAGGAAAGGTGATTTAGTTACTCTGGAACTCTCAGAAAGCAAGATTTTTATTTTTTTAAACTGATAACAATTTTTTACTGTAATCTGGCAGAGAGGCATCATTCAACAGGGTGGAATTAATTGTGACTTTGCAGCCCTTTTTGATAAGGGCTGAAAATGGGATGATGTAGACACTTCCTGTGAAAAGCAGAGAAGGTAGAACTATATTGAAATCATAGGCAAAACTCCCAATAGTAACAAGGAAAAAAAAAGTTTTATGTTATAGGAAAGAATTGCAAGGCCAGATCTTTAAGTGTTTGTATTTTGAAGGGTTTTTTTTTTAATTCAGATTGACAGCAGAAAAAGATCTTGGATCGGGGGCTTTTGTCCAAATACTAAAAACCCCCTGCTAGGCATGTGAAAACTAAACCCCAAAACACTCCCCCAACTCCAAATTAAACTGTGATGCTCAGCAATTTTTTTCCCCTGAAAATTAAAATTATGGGGATAATTTGACTGTTTCCAATGACTACTTTTTATATTTTTAAATCAAAGTTTGATGACAAATTATAATATATGTTTTTTTTAATGTCGTTTGTACTGATACTCTTCAGGAATGGGCAGTGGGAGTGCTGGAAAAGAAGGGGGGCCATTTAAAACTCTCTTAAGACAACAGACTCAGTCAGCTCTGGAACAAAGGGTAAGGCATTTTATACTTACATTTCTGATCTACTAAAGTGAAAAGTTAGCTTGTAGTAAGTTAAATGTTTCTTGTTACTTTCCTTTTAAAAATATGTATAATGTTTAGGTCTGAAAACTTTTTACAAATGTTGAATGTTTAATAGCCCTTTTATACACAAATTATTTAAATTGTGATATATTACTAAAGCATTAAGAAAAGTGGAGCAAATAACTGTAATGTGCACAGCACTTAAGTGATTACAGTTGGTGTTACAAGAAACAGTTACAGCAAAAAATTGCTCTTATTTAGTCTTTCTGTTACTGATGCATGTATTTAGTTAAATACATGATGTTAAAGTATTAAACTTAAGTTGTCACAGAAGCCAAATTCAGAAATATTGCAATAGGTTTAAGCAAGGTGAAAATCCCATTTATAATTGTGAAAACTTTCAGTTTTGAAAAATAGAGTTGGTGCATAATTTAGCCTTCGTTCTACTATGTGAAATGGTGTGCATGTAGCCTTTAAAAAATGCTAACTTAAACCTAAACCACTTTCCAAGCAATAAAAAGGCTTTATAGATTTACAGCTTTTTGAAGAACCTCTGTAGGGCCAAAAATGCCATCTGTTGTTATGCTGAATAGACTGTATAATAAAAATAGTGGGTTTAATTCTTCGTTTAAATTTTGAAATGAGTCTTTGCAAATTTTTTATAGATTGTATACTGCTTTTGTCAAAATGTTATTAGTGAGGTGTCTTGAAGGAAGAAACGTGAATGTTTTCCTTTTCAGAAATACATTCTAGTTGAATTACAATTTTTGACTAGCTGAACTACTTACATAAATAGTTCTGTGTTTGTTGAAAACAAAATCAGCTACATCTGTGAAATACAAGTGAATAGATACTATTTTGAGTAAGTGGTTGATTGTCTTCTCATTTTTTGTGTTATCCGTTGCTAAGGGAGGATCGCCTCATAGGTTCTGTAGAAGGCGGGTATGTTCCAAAACATTGTGTGACACTTCTTGTAGTCCTTTTTTCTTGCATTGAGGATTTCTACATGATTATTTGAAATATTTTTATTTTCTTTTTTCATGAAGGTTTGCAGATTTCTTTGTAATCTTGTTTATGCAGGATTTTTTTATATTCTGTTATTTTTAAGATCATTTATCAGATTGGCATATTTTTGCTTAGTATTTTGCATGTTGATACATTTCAGTTAAAATTTTAATTTCTCTTTAAATACAGATCTATGGGTTTTTGGTTTGAATGTTTTAGTTTGAAAAAATGCTTTAAAAAGAGCCTTTTCTCTGTTTACTTTTGGTTTTGCTAGTGTTTCAGACATTTCATGGCTGATCTGTTATTTCCTTAGGAAGCTTTTAAAAAACAATAAAAAATGTAAATTAAAAGCACTTAATGTATTTTTAGACCTTGAATTATTTGTACATTGTTTTGATAAAGCCTGTATATTGTCTAGTAGAAAAAAATTGCTGTAAAATAGGATGGAAACGTGCTACTGATTATGTAGCAAAGCATACAGACTTAATTGATACAAAAATATGTTCATACTATCTTTCTGAAAATTTCATATTGCATGTGTTTTTGCTATCATTACCTCTTACGGTTATCTTAAGGTTGAGTTACTTTAATGAATAACACTAATGTTATTTTGTCTGTTAATATTACACATGTAAATAGTGCACTCTAGTTACTTGTCTGGAGTAGCTAGAGTAGCACTTACTTGGGAAAACAAAGAATAAATTCAATACTTATATTTCCACATGTATTAGATATATAGTAAGTTCTTTAGAGTCTTAGTTCAGTTTATTTGGGATTAAGACCAGTTCATTTAATCAAATGTGGTTTTAATGTGTTGCTTAAATAACCCTAATTACAAACCAGAACAGATTTTGTTGGAAGGGTAATATTGCTCAATTTATTCCAGGAAAATACACCAGCTGTGGAAAACTCACATATGTACATTAATGTATTTTTAGCAATTCACAGGGTGCCTGTTGGTAGCAAGCGTAACTATAGCACAAGCTATCTTTGTGTATACTTTTATCTATAAATGCATATGCTATATTTCCATCAGTGGGAAAACTTGAGCTTACTTTACTCATCAAAAATTAGCCTATGTTTTTGTAGAAATGGCCAAACGCTGCTCTTGATGGTATTTCATCTCTCTGTTGACCTCAACTTGGACAGATGCTGTTTTATTCCTCTGTGTTTGCATTCTGCGAGTGCTTGAGAGATCTTTGCTGTTGCCTTTTCAAAGTGGAGATTTGTTGATCTTCATCTCTGAAGAGCACTGCTAGATAACTGTTGTGTTAGAGTGCAGTTCTCTATGTGATTGTTATGGCTGAAATGCTGACTTAAGCAACTTTTCTTTCCAGCGACTTCTTGTTACTATCCAGCCCATCCCATCAGTTCAGTTGAAAAATTCTAAGATTCTGTGGCCACCTTGTGAGATGGTGCAGTAAATGTGATTAGAATAGCATTAATTCAACCAGGAAATTAACAGTATTTTAATGTGGACCAGTTCCTTACTCTGGTTCACCCTAAAAAGCCCTATGAACATACCTGATAATTATGAGCATTATCTGAGGGAGTGGTGCAGTGATGGGAATGAGTGAATGGCTGGAAGGGAATCCGAGAACTGCTTCAGCTGGCACTAACACCAAATGATATGCGTGTGTAGCCTTTTTCATGTGCTTTTTTCATTCTTTTCTGTGTCTTTGTATGAAACGTAGTTAAAAAACAATACTAGCAATACATGTATGCATATACACAAACATTTTTAAACGTTGTATTAAATATTTTGGATGATTTTATTGTAACCTTATCCAAACTTTCCTCAAATGCCAACTATAAAATTCTCTACGTAGTTGCCAGTGACAGTTCTTTCAGGGTCTGTGTGGTCAATGACTGTGAAATGGTGTACTGAATTGGTACTGGTAAAATGATTGACCATCTTCAGTTGTAGCTTGTAAACTTTAAGATCATCATGTCTTCTCACACACAGGAATACTCTGTGCTTGCATCACCTTGATATAAAGATAGTCCTTTGCAAATCATAGTAATAGAGGAGATTTGTAATACGGATATACCACATATGGTTCTTATGGAATATCTGTTTTCCATGCATTAAGTATAGCTATATAATTTTGAAGTATTAGAGATTACCACATGTAGTTGAGGCTGTAACTTGTATTGGAGTAATATAATAATAAAAAACCCAAACCCTCTAAATGAGCTTAAAAAATAAATTAAAAAAGCCATCGTACAAAGTCATGGAATTCCATCTGCATCAGAATGAACGAGACATTGTTAATAGAATAAGAACATGCAAGAATGGTTCAGCAAGCCAGTTACCCAGATTTGTCTGTGGCTGAAATTAACTGATAGGACATTAGGTCTAATTTGAGTGTGTATCATAATACAGACTTGCAAGTATCGGTATCATAGAATCATAAAATCATAGAATGGCCTGGGTTGGCAGGGATGTTCAAAATCATCTAGTTCCAACTCCCTTGCCATGGGCAGGGACACCCTCCTCTAGACCAGGTTGCCCCAAAGCCCCATCAACCTGGCCTTGAACACTTCCAGGGTGGGGGCATCCACAGCCTTTCTGGGCAGCCCATTTCAGTTCCTCACCACTTGCACAGAGAAGAATTTCTTCCTAATATCTAATCCACATCTACCCTCCTTCAGCTTAAGGTCATTATCCCTTGTCCTGTCACTCCATGCCCTTGTAAACAGTCCCTCTCCAGCTTTCTTGTAGGCCCCCTTCAGGTACTGGAAGGCTGCTATAAGGTCTCCCCAGAGCCTTCTCTTCTCCAAGCTGAACAACTCCAACTCTCTCAGCCTGTCCTCATAGGAGAGGTGCTCCAGCCCTCTGATCAGCTTTGTGGCCCTCCTCTGGACTCGCTCCAACTGCTCCATGTCTGTCTTGTGCTGGGGCCCCCAGAGCTGGACACAGAACTCCAGGTGGGGCTCACCAGAGTGGAGTAGAAGGGCAGAATCACCTCCCTTGACCTGCTAGTCACACTGCTTTTGGTGCAGCCCAGGACATGGTTGGCTTTCTGGGCTGCAAGCACATGCTGCCAGCTCATGTTGAGCTTTTCATAAATCAACGCCCCTAAGTCCTTCTGCTCAGGGCTGTTCTCAATCCGTTCTCTGTCTAGCATGCATTTGTGCTTGGAATTGCCTGAGCCATGTGCAGGACCTTGCACTTGGCCTTGTTGAACTTCATGAGGTTCACATGAGCCCAGTTGTCAATCCTCTCGAGGTCCCTCCGGATGGCATCCCTTCCCTCCAGTGTGTCGACCCCGCCACACAGCTTGGTGTTGTCAGAAAAATTGCTGAGGGTGCGCTCGTATTACTTGACATAAAAACATGTCTTTACTTTAAAGTTTCATTCCTGGCTTGTAGTATAAGGAATCAGGCAAACTGGAAATCTGAACATGTTAAAATTACTTGCAGTACACATCCTTATGAAAACTAACAAAAAATGAAAGCAATTTCTGAATCTCATATAGATTAAAAAGCATCGTATTTGCTTATGCTTTAGAGCATGGAGTATTGTTTAGTTTGTTTGCTACTTACTGCTTTAGCACAATGTGAGTGTACATATATGTATGTCCAATATATAAATGTAGTGTAGGCTTAATGGAATTTTGTATAGGTGGCATATGCAGTAGACTTTACCTATTCTGGAAAAGCTAATTATTTTTAACAGCATTAATGTGGGATAACTATATTCAACGGACAGCAAATGTGTATTTTTATATA